CACCACCACCCACACACCCACACCCACACCCACACACACCCATACACCCACACCCACACCCTATTACTAACGTTTGGGTTTGCATCTTGAAATAAATATGTCGATCAAAAAAGGATCTTATTTTCCAAGGAATTTCTAAAGAGACTGGACACAAGACACACAAGCCGTGAGAAAAATTCAATAGTCTCAAAACACGTTCTGTTCGATCAGAAAAGCTATTGAAATGATTTTCAATCCAAGAAACTCCCTTCTTGGATAACTCTTTGTAATGCTAAACTATCTTTGCCTTCGTTGACCATTGTCTCGTCGATTTTCAGATCGTTTATTATCCAAAACTTATATTCTTCTTCACAAGTTGTGCTCATTCAAATACCATTCCATCGATATTTAAAATTCGAAGAACATCAATAAAAAAAACACTTCGCCATTTTTTCATTTTTGCTCTAGTTTACTGGGATTTAAATAAACACCAACAGCATTCGACCAACAACTATTTTGCTGTACAATAAATATGTATTATTTGACACAAGAAAATGAAGTGTTGCTGTTGCAGATTTAGAGAAGAGGCACTGAGGGCAATCGTCCCCATTCCAAAAAAGCCTTTTCGATGTTTTCCAGCAGAAAAAGCTAAAAAACGAGCTATTGCTACATCTAATGAGCTTCAACACACGTTTTATAATTATGATCGCCTCGCATCCCAATTGAAGCGCCTTACATTGACAAAATTCTACGTCCACCACTGAAGTATTGTGTTGTAGTGCTTCAAGTGTTTTTATTGCAAATAATAGGAAAAAAACATTATGATAAAATATTCGGAACAGATTCTTTCTATTTTACTAAATTATGATTTCGTTAAAAGCTCTTCTAAACTAAAAGTTTTTCTATCATTAACAAAAGCTATGAAAGTTGCAACCCAAAGTCTTCAATATTTTGTACCGAGTAGTCTTTTCTTACTTCGCTTGCACTATTCTCATTCTTCTGAAAAACAATGCTTTTTCTAACAAATAAATAAAATATGTAATTGAAAAATCAATTGTTGTGTTCACGGATGATAACACCGCACAGAATAGATTAAAAGTATGCAGTGTTGGTCCAACCTTTCAAACTTTGAAGGAATGCAAATAAAAAGAGTGCGGGTGTGGGTGAGTCGGCGTGAGTCTTCTTATCGAAGCTCACACCGGCGCTCCCACACCCACACCCATACCCACACTCACAGCTACACTCTGCATCGGTTTAGTACATTCACAGGAATAAATTCAATCTTTTCTTTGATATCTGGATTTCATGTTATAAAGATGTCACACGGTATCAAACTCTTTTCATCACAAGATTTCACCTCGTCATCTACTATCTTTATAATTTGCCAATAAACAACACCAATGGCATACTTCGGATGTGACACAGAAATAGAATGATAAGAAAAATCTAAAGGTCGCTTTTCACCCTTCCTATGAATATTTATACACGTAGCTTGAATAAAATTTGTCATCAAACCGCCTATCGTTGTTTTTCTTTTTTGCTCTAGTTGTTTTATAATCAAGAATGGCCAACAAAGGTCCTATTGTTGATTCTGATACGGTTCTATTTTCCAATGGTTTCGTAAAATGTTATTCGGATCGTCTTATCATTGATCTATATTATTTTCCGGTTGGAAAAAAAACTGTTCACTATGACAAAATTCAATCATGTGAACTGCTGGAAATGCGCGATCTCAGTTTTTCAAAATCCAAACTATGGGGCATGGCATTGGCACCAATTTGGTGGCATTGTGATTTCAGTCGTTATTCTCGTCGATATTATATTCTATTGAATGCAAATCAATGGCCTCAAATTGGTCTCACCATGGATGATGATGATATAATAAAAGTCTATAAAATACTTAAAAATAAAATGGATATGAATCAATTACCAAAACAGTCACTGCCCGTTCGGATCAAGACACAGTAGAGAGACATGGTTGAATATATTTACAGTTGCCCACATCTATTTTCCATTTTATTATTTCAATAAAATGTTCTATAAACAAACTAACGAGGGGACATATTCAAGTGCGGGATAACGTTTGACTCCATATTTTGGCTATGAGTAGAACTTAGTGAGACTAAGAAAACCCTAAAAGGACTCGGGCTCATGGCCTAGTAGTGAAGAGTTATAACCATTTTACTGAATTTTTACCCATAGCAGCTTATTTTTGAACAAAATCAAGACAACAAATTTTGACCTGAAACTTTGTCTATAGATAGGCCTCATCGTTATTAGAATGTTCTAGCAGTTTCAACAAAATTGAAGGTGTCTTTCTCGAGATAACGAATTTCCAAAATGCAGGCGTCTGCTACAAAAAGGACTCAATAGAGGAGTTTCGTCAGAACTTCGATTTTTCTAGAAAGACACCTTCAATTTTGTTGAAACATCCAGGGCATTCTAATGACGATGAGGCTTATCTATAGACAAAGTTTCAGGTCAAAATTCTTTGTCTTGATTTTGTTCAAAAATAAGCTGCTATGGGTAAAAATTCAGTAAAATGGTTATAACTCTTCACCACTAGGCCGTGAGCCCGAGTCCTTTTAGGGTTTTCCTAGTCTCACTAAGTACTACTCATAGCCAAAATATGGAGTCAAATGGCAGGGTGTGTGTGTGGGTGTGAGTAGGAGTCTTCCCTTCGCCCACACCCAGACGCACCCATCTACACCTACCCTCACCTACACCCACCCTCACTAGTGGCGTAACCAGGATTTTCTCGTATGTTGGGTCTCATCTTTAGAGCATGGGATCCAGATGAAATTTATAGAGCTATGATACTAGACTCAAATGGTGAATTTCTGCCGCAAGATTTTTGCAATAGGAGTTTGCGAAAAAAATTAGCATTTTCCTGTGCCTTGCCAGGATTTTACTTTTGCTATTTACAGCATTCTAATTTTTAGAATTTAATAGTAAGCTACATCAAAATTCATCGACAGATTTCAAATTTCATCTGAAAATATGCATCCGTTCATGAGTATTAAGGTTTTGAATTTTTGTTTCACACTGCAAAAATTTCAGAAAACTTTCAAAACTTTATAACTCCTGACCGGCTGCATATTTTCAGATGAAATTTGAAATCTGTCGATGAATTTTGATGTAGCTTACTATTAAATTCTAAAAATTAGAATCCTATAAATAGTAAAAGAAAAATCCTGGCAGGGCACAGGAAAATGCTAATTTTTTTCGCAAACTCCTATTGCAAAAATCTTGCGACAGAAATTCATCATTTGAGTCCAACATGATAGCTCTATAAATTTCATCTGGATCCCATGCTCTAAAGATGAGATCCAACATACGAGAAAATCCTGGCTACGCCACTAACCCTCACCCACACCCACACCCCACATAAAAAAAGAAAATCTTTTCAAGCTTTTTATTAAAGAAATACGTTGATACTATCGCTACTTTTGGTATGCCATAAGGATCTCATACTGTTTCTTACAATATATACTGAATGAAGATTAGGAATCGCGAAATAAAGAAGGAGGAAACCGTAAGCTGATTATTTTTTAGACTAAATATTTGAAAAGAGATAAAGTGACTACTGCAACAGCTCAAATCCGAAATAAGAAAAACAAATAAACTAACCTGTTTCATTGTGTTGTTGTTCATGCCATATTTAAATGTTGTTTTAATGTCACATTTCATTTGATGTTCCATTCACACTATTTTTGTGCCAAGTCATCAATTAGTTTGTGTTTCATATAATTTTGTTGGCACCAATCTGTTGAGTGAATGTATTCATGCAATTGGGAGATAGAGAAAAGGATCTGCCTTGATGTTCTTGCAAAATCTAAACTTTGTTATGAAATGAATGAATATAGTGAAGAGTTAATATATGGCTAAAGTAAAGAGATAGAGAATTCAGAGGAGGCAAAAAGACCTATCTATGACATTTAATTTTCTTTCTCATCAAAGATCTTTCACGACGATCGCACTCTCTCGCTGCAAAACAAGCTACAAAAATCTGAACGAAAATGTTTGGTTCTCTTCCTCATGAAAAGAATATAATTAAGATTAGAAGATACAACTAAAGAAGAGGGAATAAGACTTAAAAAAGAATATCTAATAACTGTATTCACTAGAGATGCTTCATTATGATCCACATAAGTAACTGAAGAAGAAGACACAAGGCGTAACGAAAAATATTTCATTGTTGCTCTTACGGAAGGTATTCAATCAAGATTAAAATATCTAACTTAAAAGAAGAAAAAAGATTTAAATCAACTTATTTAGCTCTCGTTCTAGCGAAATATATTCAATCAACATCAGAATATGTAACTCATGAATAAGCAAAAACATTTAAACGGAAATATTTGATTGTCATTCTCACAATGGACACTCAGTTATAATCACGATAGGTAACTGAAGAACAAAAGAAAAAGGATTAAAAGAAAATATTTCATTCTCTTTCACAGGATAGATACTTAAGGGTCATCATACTAACTAACTGTAAAGAAAACAGGGAAAAGATGTAAATGAAGATACTTACGAGGGAACGTTCTCAACTGTCAAATCGCTTTTGAACTGAGCATGTGCTCAAACGATGGACCTCACTGAGTTGTTAAATGCTCTACAAGGGTTTGGTTTTTTAGCCTTCTGTTGTCAAGTTATGGGCCTTTCACTGAATTTTGGTTTATGGATATAAGATTCTGCTGAGTATCTGAATGATCGAATTTCAAACTGAAATTTTGCTCGTAGATAGGCCTTATAAACACTAGAAACTTCCCAAAGTTTGAGCCAGAATGAACGCATCCTTATCGAGATATTCACATTTCAAAAAAACGCCTGTTTTGAGCTGTGTTGCGAAATAGAGACATTTTCATGAGAAGCTGATATCTCGATAAGGATGCGTTCATTCTAGCTCAAACTTTGGGAAGTTTCTAGTGCTTATAAGGCCTATCTACGGGCAAAATTTCAGTCTGAAATTCGATCATTCAGATACTCAGCAGAATCTTATATCCATAAACCAAAATTGAGTAATAGGCCCATAACTTGACAACAGAAGGCTGAAAAACCAAACCCTTGTAGAGCATTTAGCAACTCAGTGAGGTCTATCGTTTGAGCACACGCTCGGTCCAAAAGCGATTTGACAGTTGAGAACTTCCCTCGTTAGTTCTCTTTCTCACAATATATACTCAATTATGATCACTGTAAGTAGCTAAAAAGAAGTAAGGGTGTGGGTATGGGTGTGGGTGTGGGTGTGGGTGGGTGTGGGTGTGTGTGCGGGGTATGGGTAAAAATCATGTTCTCACTGACCCCCACAACCCACACCCACACCCACACCCTCCAAAGTCGGAGATTGATACTACTTCAGTAATAGAGATAGTTCCGTGAGCTGGTTCTAAGAAGATTCCCAGTGACCCAAATGCGTTGAATATTATAGAATTTTTCCAATAAATGTTGATTTTCTCAACCTACGAAGACCCACAAAAAGCCATGTTTTATGTTTCCAATCGACAGCGCTATTATATTTACATATATGTCCGAAATTTAAGACATATTTATTTGCATAAGAAAATATCAGGAATTTACTTCCTTATTTATTGCATTTTAATGCACAATTCGTTTGGCACATAATCCTCCATTTCAGTAGAAGGAATATTACTGTTTTGGGTCATAGTGCATAATTCGACAAAGTAAGTTTCTGATATTTTTCTTATACAAGCAAATAAAAGTCTGAAATCTTGGATATATATATATATGTTGTAGGCAAAATTGAAATCCGGCCAAATTTTAAATTTACCCAGTCAAAATTGAAATACTAATTCTGACTGGGCGAAATTACAATTCTAATTTTGACCGAGAATTTATCAGTCAGAATTGAAATTACAATTTTGACTGGGCAGATTTAAAATTTGACTAGAGGTTAGATCACTTAAATAAAAAAATAATAATTTCAAGAAATAGA